CTCGTGAAGTGCCTTTCGGAAGCACTCAGGATGGTGCCCAATCGAAAGGCACGCGTTAAAAAGAGACAGTACTTGTTGTTCAATCAAAGGCCACGCGTGTCGAATAATGGCCGTGGGTATTCCGTCTGCACCAGGAGCGGTGTTGCTAGCACGTAGGATGGAGTCTCGGATTTCCTCAACGCTAGGAGATGGGAAGGGCGGTGAGGTTGAAGAAACTGTCGAAGAATCTATAGGGATGTCACCAACTGCTGAGGGGTTTGCGAGTAGATTTTGCAAAAGAACCTCCATTTTTCCGGCAAGACTCTGGACTGGAGGTTGTTCTGGGAAGCGGAAGTCTTTAAGCGGGCGTGAACGATAAGTTCCCGCAGATTTATGCCACTTGGTTACTCCAAATATCTCCTTAGCCGTGCGGGCCCTGACCAATTTGGTCTTGAAAAAATTGTTTTTTGCTATTTTTACTGTTTTCCTGTAGGTCTTTTGGGCATCACAAACATCACTTTCATTGGATGGAGATCGCAGAGCTAACTTGTAGCCCCTTCTAGCCTCTTTGCATGAATCGTTCCATCAATGATTTCCATGTCCGGCACCTAGATTGCGCTTTGCAGCAACGCAATATGCATCGTGTATAATTTGCACGAGAACCTCCGCTTGAAGATCTAGATCTTCACTTGAAGGGGATACTGGAAGAGGGCCTGTAGAGCGCATTGATTCAGGTTACTACCAAAGTAAAACTATGTACAGGTTTTGTAGTCACGTGTATGATAACAGCGTGGCCTACTTGATAGCACCAATTATTCTAACTTCTCCGGTAGACCTTTAAAACAAATAAAATAAATATTCTAACAAGTTATGTGTTAAGAAACTACTATCATCGACCTAAATACATTGAAATGGGCGCAGAAAAATGATTGTGGACTTAGAGATTCTTGATATATTTTTGGGATTTTAAGACCTAAGTTAAAGCCCAAAGTCCACTGTGTTTACAGGACGAGTGGAGCCGGCTAGTGTTGTGATCAGACCCACTTATAGATCACACAACTTGGAATGGCTAGTACTGGGCAAGTGAACCAACAGGACAAGCGACCCTGCGTCAATGATACGTCATCGGCACACAGCAATGACAACACCAGTATCTCAACCATACATGATTATATGATAATATGACGCAGGTATATCTAATGACATAGTTGTTGAATGGCTGAATGGTTGGCAGTTATTGCTATTGATGGTATATTGTATGTATTGTCTTTGTGTATAAATACTCGCTACTAGACCTCTGTATATGATCAACCTTTTCCACTCTTATATTCAATAGTCATCAATATAGCAGATCTACAATATATATCTGTCTTCTTCACGTTAGACTTAAAGTGCTATCCTACATCAACCCAAGTTGACTGTTACACCCATTGTGACAATTCTTAGACTTCTCATAACCTCATTATTACAATAGCTAGTGCGTGTGTGTATATTGTACTACTTGAGTCTTAGATTATCTAGCACATTGGACTCCTCTCTGACCCAGGCCACACCTTGTACACTGCTCCTTGCCTCTTATGCTCCTTGAAGGATCATTGATATATTGCCCGTGGTGAATTGCCATTCGGCTCAGTGATTGCCCATGGAATTCGGCCACCTTTTCCGCGGTACCTTCTCACGAAAAATGATAATAATAATAAGTGTAGCAATGGAAACTACGTGCGCAGGAAAAAGTCTCAAATACTCACAGCCCCAGCCAGGCGAGGCCTAGACACCGGGACCACATGAGGTGCGCATATTCATTTACATCTCCCTTCTTTGTAACAGTCTAGGCCGACTTGATCCAATCCACCATCTCCGTATTGGGTGCTGAATACGCTCCGGAAACTCATCGGATGGCTTCTCCTCCACGATCAATGGTTGGTTATGAGAAGGACTTCGACCCTACTATCTGATCTGATTGTGGTTAGCTACATGATAATGGTTATAAGGGGTTATTGTTGGGAGATGAAGACGATACAGGCGGCGAAAGCGATTGGAAATCCTCGTCAAAGTGAGGACTTTGTTACTCAATATCGGCTCTGCAGACTCTACAGTGAGAGCTGGAGGTTCATAGGGGACACCATTGACAGGTGTTGGGTATAGTCTTCCACTGGTCTCTCAAGCAATTCACATAAAAATTTCACAGTTGTTTGAGAAGTGCGATAAGAGTTGATAGACTATTGCAAGATATTACTTCAAAGGGTTTGAGACCGGAGTTGATAGAATAATAAGAAAATGGCAAAATTATATTTTGATTCGTATTCATTATCCTGATTTGGCGCCCTATGGGCCCATGCAGGTGGCTATAAATCTCTCTATATATTTACATAGGAGGAAACCTCTCGGTGGAAACCCCCCAAGCTTTCTGATTTAATTCTTATAGTTTGCAGTTTATCCTTCAGGAAGTACAGTTACACTGTAACGCCGTCGATGTGTACCAGTCACGTCCCTTCTATCGACCTCAACCTTCTACATGTTCCCTCTCGTTCCCTGAGCTGCATTTCGACTGCACTTGTCAAGCGGAATTGTTCTATCCAGCCATGATTAAGAATCCATGGCGTAATTCTTTTAATATCACCAGGATTTTCTATCATTGCTTCGTAGGACCGATCTTTGGCTTGTCTCCAGATCTCATCCCTACCATTTGACCACTTAGGGCAGGACATGATAATGTGCTTGGGATTTTGTGATTGGTAGTCACACGGACAGCATGGATCGTAGACTCCTGGTACTTTTCTTCCATGCAAATACGAATTGAACGCGATATGCTCGCTTAGAATTTGGATTGCTAAGCTACTTTGGGTCCTCGACAGGTTTTTATGGAGAGTAAGAGGAGTTTTCAGGAAACTTATTCTTTGACGTCCAGAATGTCGGCAGTGATAGAACTTAGCTGCTTTCCAAGTTTCAAGATCTGCTGTAGCACGTTTTAGGGGCTGTCGACTTCGCTTAGGGGTGGACCAAGATTTCGCCCATTATAGGTACGCTGCAGTCTTTAGCGCTTCTTTCTGTAAATCTTTAGATTTTAGGCAAAATTATATTATTATTTTTTTTATTGATATCAAAGTGGTACGTCTTAGTGAGAAAGTAAAACCTAGTTCCCTTTGTTATTACTAATTGAGTACGTCTCATTCCAACTGAGCTCTCCACTTGAAACTAAATTAGACAGAACATGTCACTGCACTTCTACGAGGCTCAATCACTAGTGTAGATCGAGACATGTATTATAATACTAACCACTGTACTAAGAGTGGGTATATTTCAAAGCTATCCAACACTTAATTCATGATGTTGGGATACGTACCTACTACTGCCTTTCGCTTTAGCAAAGTCTACCTGACGTCACAAATTCACACATTTCATATGTGACTTGTATATCTAATTCTCTCGAGACGTAAGACTGGAAGTTATAATCCAGAAAGAATCGATTACATTCCTCGCAGAGCTCCTGTGCAAGGATGACAAAGGCATGCTTGGATAACCAAATGTTGCAAAACGTTCATTTGGTAGGTACTCACGGACGCGGGTCGATAGTTCTACGTTAACAAATATATTAAACGAGTAAATTTACAATTGTAGTTCAGAATGTGGGTGAGTCTGAGTCCATAGAAGTCATGATACATGTATACAAGACAGTGGTCATGTGTCATAGCTATATAGCTAAATATACATTAAATAATCAACATGACGCTATTTTTGGCTTCAATTTTTAACTCATTTTTGGCTAGGTCAAAATGTGCGAAAAAAGAAGATAACAGTGAAGGTGAACGGTCGCAATCGAGGATCAATTGTGGTCAGCCTCCCATCAGAGGCAATGCAAACGGAGGTTGTTCGAAACGGCCTTGTAATTAACGCCATGCTCTTCACCACGCAGGTGTGGTCACCACGGGCCCAGCCAAAGCAGTGTTACAACTGCAGCCAGTGGGGACACACACAAGCGTCGTGTGGAAAGGCTGCCAGGTGCGGCGAGCGCGCAGGTGCTCACTAAACTCGGGACTCTCCTAGGAAAAGGGTTTCTTGTGCGAACTGTGGCAAGGAACACCGCTCGTGGCAAAAAGCAGCGTGTTGGACTTACCAGGTCTACAAGGAAGGTGTGGAGAAGGCTCGGATGGAGCTGTTGTCAGGAACGGCGGGAATAAGGAATGGAAAACCAACAATGGCGCGAATGCGAACAGTCGGAACGACAAATGATCAGGGATTCACTTTGGTCACCAGTAAGAAGGCTTAAGGACTCAAAAGAGGGCCGGGACAACCACGTAAGGTAGTGGAAGCCCCAGTGACACCAACAATCCCCGCCACAACAGCTACACTATCGGGGCCAACTCTTCGAACACTTCGAAGACCAACGCCGAGCGAGGAGGTGCCTTCTTTATTTAAATTTTCATAACGTTAGTCTGATCGAAGGGGGAGTTAACGAATTCTGGGGAAAGTTTATAGAATTGTGGTTGAAAGGAACGTCCTCAGCATAAAGCCGGGTCGGTTCAGAGTGGCAGGAGATCGGGTTTTGTTTGTTGTAAGCTTTTTCCCTTACCAGAGCGGCTTACCGTCTTCATGGATCTGTATATAGAAGCCACATAGGACGTTAAACTAGAACAATAAATGAATGAACAGTGAAGGTTAAAATAAACTAAACTTTTGCTGAATTTTTTGTAGGTAACAATAAGGAAAATCGCGCCACTGATTGGAAAAACTTTGAGGCCCTTCACTTGTAGCTTAGCGGGTATTTACAGTACAAGATAATACGCTGATCGTACGCGCCTTTCAGTAACATAAGATGAGATAGTAGAAATAACCTACAATCTTGTGATAGCTGCTTCTGCAAAGTACTATACTTAAAAGTTCAAATTATCAATATAGTGAACTCTGTAATTCTTGGTAAGGAATCGGAATGAAAGGATTAACATTTGTACGATTAGCTGTTAATTTTTATTACAATAAAGTAGAGGTTGTGCGCAGGAGTTCTTCAAAATCATGCTACTCAGTCAAAATGCACGACCTGGTCGCTTTTTCGGCGGTCTACGCACCGCTCCATGTGATGAAATCTTCTTCACTGAGGAAGAGGCTGGTTTTGCCAAAGCCTCAGTAGAGTCATGTTCTAAACGTCGCTCCTCCCGATCCTTATCTTGGGCCATTTTTGCTTCAATCTCCATTTTGCGATTGAACTTGACTTCAGTAACTCGCTTCTCGCGTGCTGAGTAGCCCTTCTCCTTCACTGAATAGAAAACACCGCCGAGTTCTGCAAGCCAGTAGGGATCGACCGCAGTGACTGTGGACATGTACTCCTTAGATGTAAGGATGAGTTCATGGTATACGACGTAATCAGGTAGGTAGCCGAGTCCATATAGCGCGCTAGTTGGATGTAATTGGACCGTGACACTAGTCCTAAGATTGACGTACTCTCCAATCCCCTTGACCTTAGCGGCCTGATGATAGTAGCCGGAGCAGATGCATTTCCGAATAACATCCCAATCAGTACCACAACTCACCAGAGTCATCTTTTGCATTTTGATAATCTCCAAAAGTTGCTCACGAATTTCTTTAGCACGACGGAGTGACTTGGGATGAAGAAAATGCCGGATGCACCATGCATCAGAATATCCATTTGACTTCCACTGGGAATAAACATGCAGGTATGTTAAATGGTCTGATTCCGGGACAAAAAATTTTTCGCGCGCAGCGTCAGATTCTTCTTGGCGTTCTTTTGGTCTATAAAACACGTTTGGTACCGATAGCATTGAAACTATTGTCAGAACTTCTTCATTGCAAGCGTATTCCTCCGAAGTAATAAGAAGTTTTGCTAATGAGGGATCCATGGGAAATGCCGTCATCTTTCGCCCCATATCTGTAAGATTACCGATATGATCCAATGCACCTAGAGACCATAAATCGAAGAGAGAGGTTGTAATAGTGTCTTGTGGAGGCGGGTCCATAAAGTCAAATTCTAACAAATCTTTGACGCCCAGCCATTTAAGGAGTAGCACAATGTTACTAAGATTTGTGCGCTGTATCTCTGGAATTGTTTGAATATACATCTCGTCTTTGAATGCAGCTTCTGTAAAAAGGTGAAATGCTTTTCCAGGTCCGGTCCGTCCAGCACGTCCGGCTCTCTGCGAGGCATTAGCTTGAGAGATGGGCGTAATTTGTAATGTATCCATTCCCATCCTTGGATTATAGACCTTGAGTTTTGAATATCCAGAGTCTACGACGTACATAATTCCATCAACCGTTAAACTTGTCTCTGCAATATTCGTAGCCACTATCACTTTCCTGACACCAGGCGGTGCTTTATCAAAAATTTTTGCCTGTAGGTCAGCAGGCATTTGGCTGTAAATTGGAAGTATGCTGAGCTTGGGTGGGTTATTTAGCGCATCCAGTCGTTCTTGAATTAACTCGCAAGTGACTTCAATATCCTCCTGACCGGTCATGAATACAAGGATATCGCCAGCAGCCATTGAAACATGAATGGCAAGAACCTGTTGCACGGCCTGGTCTACATAATCTTCTACGGGCGACCGATGGTATAAGATATCAACCGGAAATGTCCTGCCTGGAATAAAAAATTCTGGTGCTCCACCGTAGAAGTCGGAGAATCTTTTAGAATTCATCGTAGCAGATGTAACGATAAGTTTCAGGTCTCGTCGACGAGCTAGCACTTTCTTGAATAGCCCCATGAGAATGTCGGTATTCAGTGCTCTTTCATGAGCTTCATCCATAATTACACAAGAATATCGATCAAGATCAGGTTCATTGAGTGACTCACGCAGTAAAACTCCATCAGTCATGTACTTGATAACAGTTTCTTTACTAGTGCAGTCTTCGAATCGAATCGCATATCCAACAGTACTTCCTAGTCTGCACTCCATTTCCTCACTAACACGTTTAGCCACACTCATAGCTGCCACTCTCCGTGGCTGTGTACATCCAATCATCCCTATTCTTCCAAAACCGTCTTCATGAAGAAACTGAGTGAGTTGGGTTGTCTTCCCGGATCCCGTTTCACCAACAACAATGACTACCTGATTGTCTCTAATAACTCTTAATAAGTCTTCACGGACAGCAAAAGCCGGTAAAAACTCTCTCTGTTCCTTCAATGTTTTCGATTGGCTGAATTTACTCGCGCCATCGTTCTTTTTCATGTGATGACTAAACTTATTTGTGCCATGTTCTTCTACTACATGATCTGCACAATCATCTTTATCCTTTTGCACTCCCATCAAATTTCCAAGTGTAGTTCCAGCTAGATTTGTAGCTTCTTGAGCTTGTTTTTGCCTCTCTTTTTGCTGTCGCTTTTCTTTCACAACTTTACTGCCTTTACGACTAAACACAGCCATATCACTTTGGAAATCACGCACAGCTGGAACTGGCTCAAGCTGCTTCGAAAACACCGTTCTCCCATCCAAAAATGGCGGTCGGAGGTCATGAACGAGTAGGTAGACTCGAGATGTTTCTTCATCTTCCTCAAAGTCGTTTCCAAAGTCTCTTCGTTGCGCTACCCCTGACGTCAGCATCCGATTTGTCTCCCAGGCATCAACATCTTTTTGTTTCTGGGTTTCGCGCGCGCTCATTCGCTTTCCGGTCTTTCTTTCGGTAAGTGCAGCTTCCTGTTGCTGATCAGCCCAGGAGTTTTCGTAGGATCCGAAGGGGTTGAGGAAGTCATCCCCGAAACTATGACCATTTTCGTCCGCAGCATACCAATCTCGATCTAAAGCGTTTGATTCCTCTTCGCTGATGAATATTCCTGTTCGATCCGTTTCTTGCCGATTTGAAATCGTGGAACGCCCATGTTGCGAGTGAGAATTGATTGACTTTAACTCACTCCATGTACCACCTTGACTTATGGAGGCAGGGTTCGAAAGACTGTTTCGGGTAATCAAACTGGGTGGAAGTGAGACTCGATCGTCAGAACGTAGTGGGTTGTAGTTTAGCTTCTTTCTCTTTACACGTACTTCAGCTTCTTCCTGTGGCATGTTTGTGTGGCTACTCCTCGAAACTTGGAATTGGAATACTTACTGGGCCAATGAAGCTTTGACCAGATTACAGGGGCTAAGCGATAATAATGTGGAAAAAAGATGACTGACACACAAAACAATGCATGTCGCCATTTTAAGTATTTGAATATGTCGATGATTACAGCTACAGTCTGGGTACCTCGTGGTGTTGCAGCCTCATTTCCGAAAAAAAACGAGTTCGATGAGGAAGAGTTTCGTCGCATTGCAAAACTCGCAAAGCTTCAGTTAAAAGAGGCAAATGATGATTTAGAAGATGCCCAGAAAAGCGACGCGATACGATTAGATAGCAAAGATAACGGAGCTTTTGCGATAGAAGAGGCGACGAGTAAAAAAATACAATCAACAGAGTCAGTAAACTTAATTTGATCTCACAATGCTAGCTAAAGTTCTCTAGTGAGCATGACGATGATTTACGGGAATACGATTTGGAGCACTATGATGACGATTTATTAGATGAAAAAGATGATGAAGGGGGTAGTATGGGTATCTTCAGCAATTTTAAGTCTCTTGTCTACCATCAATCAAATAAAGATGATCCATATATTACCATGCATGACAACGAGGAAGATGACGAGGAACGAGAAGAACTTCAGATTTTAGCGACAGATAATCTTCTTCTCACTGCAAAGGTTGAAGATGAGATATCGCATCTAGAGATATATGTTTATGAAGACGAAGCAGACAACCTCTATGTTCATCATGATATTATGCTTCCCGCCATCCCACTCTGCGTAGAGCGTCTAGACTTTGCTGTCGGGAAACAGACAATAGATCAAACAGCTATTTCAAATTTTGTGGCTGTAGGAACCTTTGATCCTGATATAGAGATATGGGATTTGGACACAATAGATTGCATGTATCCAAATGCCATACTTGGACAAGGTGGGGATATGCCAAATTCAGATTCTGAAAGCCATCTAAAAAAGAGAAAGAAAAAATCCAAGAAATCCAACGATAAATATCATGTGGATTCAGTTTTGGCACTAGCGTCCAACCGTCAACACCGAAACCTACTGGCTTCGGCATCAGCCGATAAAACAGTTAAATTATGGGACCTTAACACGGCGAAGTGTGCCAAATCGTATAGTCAACACTCAGATAAGGTCTGCTCTCTACAATGGCACCCAAGTGAATCTACTATCCTACTAAGTGGCAGTTATGACAGAACCGTTGTAGCTGCAGATATGCGGGCACCTGAGTCAAAAGCCCCCACATGGGGGGTTGAGAGTGATGTTGAGATGGTTAAGTGGGATCCTCATAACTCAAACTTCTTTTTCATAGCGACAGAAGGAGGTATGGTTCATTATCATGATATACGAAACGCACCGATGAGTCCAGCCAACAGCAAGCCAACATGGATCTTGCAAGCTCATGATTCTTCGGTATCCGCATTTGATGTTAATCCAATAATATCTGGTTTTATAAGCACTGGTTCCACTGATAGATTAGTAAAACTGTGGAATATTCTTCCATCGGGCCCTTCGATGGTTGTATCGCGTGATCTTGACGTTGGAAAAGTATTTTCGGCGAATTTTGCTCCTGACAAAGAAGTCGGCTTTAGGCTTGCAGTTGCTGGGAGCAAAGGCACAGTACAAATATGGGTAAAGTCTCTCATTTTCCCCCATGTGATTTGTGCGAAAATTTTTCGTATTTCGGTCGCTTTGGTTTCTTTGGAGACACTAATTTGTACGGTAGGATACCTCAACCAACCCAGCGGTCCGAAAAGCGTTCGTTGATAGGATTTGTATAGACATAGATGAAAGAAAGGAAAGACTTGTCGGCGTTCAGGCTGATAGTAGCGATGAGTCAGACGATGAAGTAGGCCAAAATAGCATTCAGCATGAGGGAGATACTGAACAGGGTTGGGAGTCAATGGATGAGAATTAATATTAATTTCCTGTCCAGTAGATCACCATACAACTTATCTTTGTGTACTGTAAAGCGTCACAGAGTGAATAAAGACATGCTTATTATCCAGATTTAGCTGTCCGATGTGCGATCGTAAAGTCATGTTGAACTAGTCTCTATTTCCAGACTCTTCCAAGGAAAAATGACAAAGGAGATCGATGACGATGACGGTTCGCTGGTAGAATCTCGTCACTTTTACCTGAAACTGTCTCCCAAAATAAGCGGGAGGATCTTCAATGATGAAACGAGGAATGTAGAAGTAAATAAAGTCGAGTTCCTGAGATGATAGGCTATTCACGATCGAAAGGATAGTATTTTTGTCCACAAGTGGTCTAGGTACCAACATAGTGTTTCTATTAATAAAATAATACTGGTCAGATAGAACAAATGATCGTCAAACCAAGTTGGAGGGAGCTTGATCCAAGGAAAACTATTTTTGTATAATTTATGCGTTTTGATTTTACAGTGAATTAAAATCATTTCAGGATTGAAGTGCGCATTTCGAAAACGCTCACGGGTAATGTAGCGTGAACGTAGATGTTAGTTCGATTGTTCAAACCGACACGAGCGCTGATCGTGCGATGTTTTAAAACATCACGATCCACAATTGTTGGTATTCGTTTAACCCCATGGGGTCTCAGCGTACTTAGATTCTAATCTGGCCTGGGGTTCGTGAGCTCTGATTCAGGCATGAACAGGCTGGTCTGTGAGTTGAAACAGGTTCAGCCTACTCGCGCTTAAACATCACTTGATTTTTTAGTCTTGAGATCTTCAATTGCAGTGGGAGACTAAATTGAAGAATTTAGTTAATCACATTGTCTGGAGTAAAAGTTGAAGATATAGGGGTTACGAAAGCAATGATTAAATGCTCGAATTGGAGATAATGTGAAGTTTGTTAGAAACTGTGGATAACGGAGCCCAGAGCATAGCATTAAACTTGGCTGGTCCGCGTGAAACATTGTTCTGCCTTATCACTATTAATTACAGAGCTTTTGATCTATCCCTTTTCTAGGTAAGTTGTTCAAGATCAAGCTACCGGCGGCTGTTGTTGGCTGACAAAGCTTCCGAAGCTGCCGCCTCAACCAATCTAGTCTGGTGGGTTGTCCGGTCCCTTCCCTGTTCCCCCTGCGCCCCTTTGTAGGTATGGAGGTATCTGCAAACAAATTCCCATGACCATGGCACAACGCACTGATGCTGTAACCCTAACCCCTAGCTTGCATTTAGCTTCGAGTCCCTGACTTGCTTGTACCCACATTAAGTTTTGCTGCAAGAATTAAAGTACCTTTTGATTTCTACCTTCCACCACGCTTTTATTGACTGTCTTTCACCCCATCACTTTGCTTCCTTGAAGGAAAACTACAGGCCTGGTTGCTCTGAATCGCATCGCTCACTTTACCTCTCCATCTTTCTTTCGCCACAATATTCATTTCTCAAGCTATATTGAAGGCTCAGCCTGAGAACATTCATCATCACATCTATTATACAAATAACTTTCCCCGTCCAAGTTAGAGCAAACAATATCTTCTTTTAAATTAATCTCAGGTATCATAAAGATTATTATCATATTGCATCTTCCTATTTTCACAAGGCAAAGGTCACATTCATCTGCAGCCATTCTTATAAAGGCTATTACCTCGGAATTAGCTCTCTGGATTAGATAGTGACAAACAGAGATTGGGACCTCACCATCTTAGAACATCGCCTATCAATTTACACCATCACCTGAGTTAATATCTTCTACAGCATGTCTCTCTCTCGGGCATTCACAGTCAGAAGGTCGAATAAGTTATCAGATTCGAGTCCCGCTGGCCCTTCGAGAAGCTTGACAACAAAGCGCTCACACATTGGTGGCACAATTCGTCATAAGATATCGGCACCAATGGAACTTATTTCAACCACGAATATGATTTCTTACAATGCACCTAACGTTCCACAGCGAGCTACCTCGCTCTCTTCAATTTCAAGCGAATCGGATAGCTCTCCAGTGGAATCAATCTCATCAATGTCATCCATAGACTCATACTCTGTTGGATCAGCATCGCCAACCAATCTCAAACCAAATCATTTGTCATGCTATTTTGGATCACCGGTAACAACAGACGAGCCACCATCTATCCCAAAGCGAGCACCTTCGCACATGAAAGTAAAGATCTCTTCAAAAACAGGATCCTCTACTCAAAAATCTACACTCAAGTATGCGAAGCCTTCAAATGAACCACTCCCTAAAAGACAAGCTTCATTAGTAAACTCTATGTCTCCAAACTTAACATCAATGGCACGCTCATCTTTGAATATGTTCTCACCTCAAATTGAGACAGTTTCACAGATTGTTACTGATAATGAACCAATCCAGACTCTAGACAACATCCAACACAGTTTAATGCGACATATTGCGAATATAGACCCTGAAGAACAAGAACTTGTATCGCGCGGACTTTACAAGTTTGAAGCTGAGGATTATGAAAATGAGCTTGATGAACTATATCATTATGTCTTTGGAGAGTCAAAGTCAGCATCAAGCCTGTGGATTTAATAAACATGACAAGACTTTTTCAGTACGATAGGGCAGGTATCAAACTTGTGATTGCTTTCGCTGTATATATTGTTGACTCGCCACTGCCTTATCGAATGTCCTATTTCGCTGCTACGATTTGTCTATGATATGTTGGAGATATGGACCTACTTCACGACTTTAAAAGATTTCGAAGGGAAATCTGGAGTTTAGGTATGCAGCTGCCAGGCGTAGCGCGGGTGAGCGAGGGGAATGACCACTTGGGACGTCATTATAGCATAAGAAATTTCATCAAGCCTCAACAACTGGTTTAATTTTTGAATTTATGCGCTGTATTGTTTAGAGATTTATGTATTTATGTGTTTATACAAATTACAAGATTTAAATTTTTCAGTTAGGGTCATGGTCGATATTTTGTTTCTGAGTTCTCGACCTGATTGTTTAACCCGAGCGAGATAAATTAGTCTTTATCGATTCAAATTAAATTATTTTCCAGCACGCTAGAGTCTGAAATTAGTTATACAGTTAGGCTTGGGAACAGCCAATCCCTATCGCCCGTACAATACAGCAGCCATGAGCGGTTGCTCGTGATGCAAAAAAAAAAAAAAAAAAAAAAAGAGCGGTTGCTCGGGCAAGGGGCCGTTCAACGGGCACGTTCAAAAGCGGGAAAGTAAATTAGGCACAAAATTTGATGGGAAAAGGTTAGCAAAAATTCGGAGAATTGATAGGAATGTCTGTTTTGAATGGCAGGCTGCACTATGAAACATCTTCAACTGAAGCTTACCATTGTAGCGAGAATAAATATTTACTCATTTACATTTCCTAGGTCAAGTATACCGTTTACAATATGCCATAGCACCCGGTATCTGTTTTCAATTAGCTAAACCTTGGTAACATTATTACATTCTTTCATTTCCAATGATTACTTACATAATATGACATCACGTGACTGGGCACTTGACGCTAGCTCAGAAAGGATTTAAACTCGCAGGTGAAGAACGGACCCTACTGTGCACACACTTCCATCTCTCAAAATAAATCCTTAACTGATTGCGAGCCACAAAGGTATGTATATAAATTTTCAACCCATCTCATTTTACTATGCGCGAACTAAGCATACTTTTCTTTCGTCATGATGAGATCCCATCTCCCCATCTTTTGCTTTAGGAAGAGCCGTCTGAGGTAATCATGACACTAGCATCATCAAATACTCAGGCATCGTGTAGTATCGTCAAGTGCAGCGATGACTTTATTTATTTGCTGGTGCGTCATGAGTACGGTGCTTAGAAAACGGGGCTCTGAACATCCACCCAACAAATTAGAGAAGCAAGAAAATATTCTATAAATTATGCTAATAGATAATTGTTAGGGTGTGCACGGATTATCCTACAGGATCTTGAATTGATAACCAGAAATTGGAAACAAATGGGAGCGGGTAAAGCCCAAAACTAGCGCAACTAACACTTACAGCAAATGGATCCCGCGCATTGATAAATAAAGATCTGTGAAATGTATTCAATAATGTGTCAAGTATCTGGTACTGTGTGATACAATGCTCAAGGCTGGGCATACTTTTGGGAATTGTTGGGATTAGTCAAATATAATGCATCTCTCGAGCTTTGTTCTTACCCACTAAATCTCATCGTGCTTGTCCTGAAACGTGAATATCAGCGCCTGGTGCTGCGATATGATACAGGACACAGTGCGCGTAGTGCAGTGTTATCATACGATTCCGAGAATACGAAGATGCCTCCAAATTCTACCTACGAGCTCTCGCTTACAAACGACATCACTACGCGGAAAGAAATTCGGAATCAGTTCATGTTGCCAAGATAAATCACTAATTCCTGAATGCCCTTGTATAGTGGTCTAGAGATCTCCCACCAGTTACAGCATCTCCTAACTTCATCACTGCCCTTCACTACACATCCTCATGGTATGTTTCTGTAGAAGATCAACAAATCCGTATCGTATAATTCATAGCAGTTCTAGCTACAGATATCGTTCCTCCAACATAGTCGGAGTGATCTACCCACTTTAGTTGGATCTAAGGAGATTATTTACCTCTAAGTAAAAGGTGATCCCTCGCGACAATTCCGGCAGAGATACGTGCATGATGTTCTAGCCTCGAACGAGAAGTCCATCTCTACACCTAGCATTTCCCTGCTTCGGGTGGTAAAGGACGAGGATAGTATGCAATAATTGGCTTTCCAGAGGGTTTAATGTTTGGCACCGCGCCGATGAAGGCTAAACACGTAGCCTTTTGCCAGAAAAGTCAAAATAATATTACTGTATACTATCAGAATTTAGAAAGCTTGGACCGATCTAACATGGTACTCAAGCGTAGACCCATAGGATTTAGATCGTGAATGATCGGTGTATGTGACAGCGGGAGCAAATCACTCAGGACCCTCTCCTTAATTTAATTGTGCTGGTACAGTTGATGGGTAGAACAACAAGGCTGCTTATTTCCCGTATTCTTCCTGGGATGCTAAGCTTTGGCGATGCATGTCATGGTAAGCAACGGCAAGAGACAAGAGACAGAGCGCGTACCTCCCGCTTCTTTCACTCATAATAACTTGTTGGTGTGTTGGTCAGGGCTTGACGGTCTTTTGCCCCTTCCTGAGGAGATCGCTCACAAGACAAAATTAAAGACTAGATGGGGAGAGAACGTAGACTGCCTGGGTTGTTCTTGATGACTTCTTAGGGCGGGAGTTGGTCACTTGAGGTTTAGCATTGCCACGAGGGGCAAGCATGCACTCTCACCTAGTCAAGACTTGGGGGCTTAGCCCTGCGGTAGATAAAGGCGAATTTTCGAGTAAAGTAATTGGTGCTCTCATTGCAATCCCCGATCCCTCCGCATGCATTGGAAACTGCGCAGTTTTGTGAAATTGCGCGTGATCTTAGGCCATAAGACTTCTGACTAAAGTTCCAAGAGATTTCATCCTATATCAAACCAATGGCAGCTCACACAGCTCTGGATATAGACAGTAGTGAAGTGCTGTGGGACATTTCCGGGACGTGGGAGGATCTAGTCATGCCAAGAACTCCTGAACTGATGAGCAGGCGGGAATCCCGCACCAATAGCTTCCGTCGTCCATTTCTTCAGGTCTTATCTCGGGACTAGCGAACAGTTTGCCTGAGCGTACCAGTCTCGCGCGGTTCACGGTCAAATTACGTAAGTCATTTGTGTCAAATTCGGCCCTGCCTCGCTCCGATCAGAATCTGAGCGAGGCAGGGAGCCTATCAGTTCAACCTCTGCGCCAGCTGTTACAACTTACATGAGCCTGTACGATTTACTGATTATCACTTCGACTTATCATGGCATAGAATACGCTTGTCAACTATACCACACTGTTGTCGCCGCGATCTCACTCATCCATGTATGTTAGGAAACCGTGGCTATGCTTTAGGATTTACTCACGATATTTGTGGTAGGGGGGCCCCTCCCTTGAAGTTTTTGGATAGCTTTTTTCGGCAGATAGACATCCGCAAATGGCCCTCGTTCGGTTAATACTAGAGGGGATGACGGCTCCCCTACGTACAAGATTTCTTTATTCCAAACAACTGCCGGTCCATGTACTAGAATAATGACTGGCTGGGTTATCACAGAGAGTCACAGACCGCGATCGAGGCGCTCAACTGAGTCATCACCAGGGTCATAGACATCCTAATAATATGGGCAAAAAGAATCCATATACTCTAATGCAATAATCGTATACACAGGGAGCCAAGTCATCCGATTATTGATGAACGTTGGAGCGACAAGTATCATTAAATTCATGTTATTGTCGACAAATCTCGTAAATTTCACCGTATATTGAAAATGACGAGAAGCTGAAATTATTTAAGCCACAAAAACAAATTATCTACTGTCATCCACAATTTCGAGCATCTCATTTGCTTACCGGCTGTCTGCATTAGAGAGCTTTACAGTCTAGCAACGCCCAAGCTACCAAATTGACTGGGTAAGCGGAGTCTAATTCGAGATCATAGACGCCCAAAATTTGAGTATAACCCGTAATCTAGAAGCTATATTCCCGATGGATTGTTCTAAAATATCCTTGCCTATCAAATCCATAGACGAGGCCTTGGGATTTGCTACCGCTCTATGTCAAATTGGATGTGCGGTCCTCGATGCATAATTTGAGACTAGAATATACAGGAACAGTAATGTCTGGGGCACTGCGGTAAAAGGGGGCTATCATTCGGCTACGAAAAATATCAGAAGCCGGTAACGATTATCAGTGAAATCTTGCATTGAAAAAGCTACTGTTTCTCAGATACATGATGATTACTGGAGGGGTTGGAACGTCTTGCACAACATCACTCAGTTGGCACAATTGCTACATCGAAAGTCTGTTTAAGCCGCCGATATAAGCAACCTCAATCAGCGTGGTCAATAACTATATTTCCTCGCATTGAATAAGCCACATACCTGTCACCAGGAACCCATCAGTTTAGTTAAACATCTGCATACTATCTCTTGGAGATACGCATGTCCACTCTTTGATCAATCCGGGATTTACAACCAGCAGTAATTTCATATTCTCCGACTTTATTCTCATCAGACTAAAGTATAGTCAATTATGTAACAGCTTTTGATCCACAAATTCCCCCAATGTACAAAAGAAAATAATATAGGGAAAATTAGCTGCATCAATTCCAATAAGAAATTTTGTGAACTCTTCCACGCTTACCCGCTATCTCGGAAACTTAGGTGTTGTCAGAGTAACACGAGAGTGGGTCATGAAGACTTCTTATTTGTGTCCCGGACAGTCACCTACATCTTCCTGTCAATTTATTCGGATCATGTAGCCTAGATGTGCATAAGCTCTCGAAGCTGTAAAACTCTATATCTTTTACAGGGATACACAATCAAAATCCCTATCAGGTCAAATCCAAGCTTATTTTCCGCGAAGTAATATTGTAGGATTCAAAGGAACTCTTCTCAACCATGTTTCTTATGATCCAAGATAAGATGGCTATGTTAAATCTCCGCAGTTTTTGTGTCCAATTAA